TGTAGTGTGCTTTAGCACAAAAGCTCAAAACAATCACTGCATAAAATGTAATAAGTGAATTAGTTTTATTTAATTTGTCCATGGCAATCACAAACAATGGTGATATTAAGCACAAAATTCATAAACATATCAAAATATTTGAAAAGAGAAATAAAGTTAAAACAAAAAAAAAAAAACCAACACAATCTAAATCTACTTTAAATGAAAGGAACTAAAGGGAAGTCTAAACAAAAGATAATATGATAAAAGGTAATAGAATAACCTCAGAAAGAAATAATCTACCTTAAGATGGACGAGTCAACACACTCTAAGTAGTTTGCAAGATGGTAAGATCAATCCATTCATCAATCCTACAAACATCCACATGACAATGAAATGAGACAAGAAATATCAAAAGCATTTTCTCCAAGCAATCAGGGTAAGTTGAACAAAGTAATAGCCATAATATAATAATTCTGAACAAAATCAAGTAAAAGGAACAAAGTAGAAAAAGTGCAGAGTGAACAAACCAATCTCCATGCCAAACTCAAAGTTCTTGAGCAACCAATACTCACAAGCCTAGCCTTTAAAGAAAAAAAAAAGAGTCAACAGGGCAATTTGATGCTTTTCATACGTTTGAAACCACAAGAACAGGATGCACACATGACACATGAGAGAAAAATAAGTAAATTTCACAAATATATCAACAAGAAAACATTGATTCCACTAAAAATAAAGAAACATTGTTTACTTTTTGGCAGCAAATAGCAAAGCATGTAAATAAATGAACTAAAATTAGAGCAAATAAAATGTAGAAATTGCCAAAATAAAACCGAGATTACTCTTTGTTTTTGTCGCATGCATTAAACATCTTGAGTGATGGCAATCTGTAAGCAAATTTAGTGAGAACCAACTAAAACAAGAAAAGCCAAGTTATAGTGCAAGACAACATGGTCAAAATGACACGGGATTGCTGTGACAATAGCATAGCAACAACCAGCATAACAAACTAATAAAAATTCAGTTCTAAATTTAGAAGCAGATTCAGTAAAACAATTGCATATGTCATATAATTTCTTTTGATATATCATATTTGCAATTCTATACCATTTTGCAGAAAAGCATAAATAACAATCAACATACTCATCCACTCCACTCAAAGTAATGTCTTAATACAAACTTACACTAGCTATAGATGTAGTATTAGTGCCAATTAGCAATTTTTTCTTTTAATTGGTATACTTCCACTCTTCAGTCTCAAAAACCCATTACCCAAACAGTTTTGAAACATAAAATTTCAAGTTTCACATAATAATTCATCTTAATACCCAATTGAAGCATGAAATTCCAACTTCAAAAACCATTTCCAATCCCATCCATTAGCTTCCCGATCTTTAACACCCGGCACTCTTTTCTTATGTTTAGGGTAGATCACAATCTAAAGCAAGCTATTTGGCAACCGAATAAAGTAGTCGAGCAAAAACGCTTAAAACTCAACATAGCATTGGAGCCATGGATGCTCAACAAACCTTAACAGATTCAATTAGTGCCTCATCACGGATGTCGTTCTTCACGTACCCTGGAAGAGGATACGGAAAGTACCGAGACATCTTTTGCTGGACCACCCCAAACCAAACCAAACCAAAATGGAAAACCAAGCTTGAACAAGATTGATCAAGAAAAAACAGTATCTGGGGTTCAATCCCAGCTTTAAAGGAAGATCCTGAACTTGTCCTGCCAAAAATTTGATAAAAGATAAAACAGATTCTAGGGTTAGGGTTTCAAGAGGAGAGGCAAGATCTAGAGCTCGTGGAGGCTTTGGATCCGAAACCACCTGTAAGCAAATTTAGATGAGCTTATCGAATAAAAAATGAAAGACAAAGAAAGGACAAAAATGGACTTTCATGTTTTTCGTTGGAGACAGCAGAGGAGAAGTAATTGAAGCTTTTGTTGATTTCTAATGGAATTATTAACAGCCACCATGATTTTGGGCGACTTCTCTGATTGCATCCCCTCCTCTGATTTCTTCTTCTATGGCTAGGGCACTAGTAGTAGGTTCTCTCAGATTCCTCTCTGTTCTCTCTTTCTTATTCTTCTCTGCTTTTTGCCTGTTCATTTTTCATCTGTGGCCAAGGGCCCGCAGCTTACCTTTGGAGAAAAATTTGTAAAGGAAAGCAACGGGAGGGGAGGGAAGTAGAGGGAAGGGAAGTGAAGGAAGGAAAATGTTGAATTTTGTTTGAATAGAAAAAAAGTGAAAAAAAAAAAAAGGAAAATAATAATATTTTTATTTAATTAAATAATTTAAT